TGTTACTATTATAATTTTCTTTTTTTACAAGACAGTGTACTAATAAATTTAAAACTAAATTTGTTATTGCTTGAGGAATTATTAATACATTGTTATTAGTTATATACTATTATGTTCCTCATTATATTATAGGTATTAATGTATTGAGATTTTATTAAATTGTTTTAAAATAATTTTTATTTTTCAAGATTTTTATATATTAATAAAGATAGCCTTATTAAAATGTACATTTTTGAACTTAAAACTAAATTTATCTATTTCTATACATATAATTTATGACTGCTGATCGCACATGTTTTCCTTGTATCAAATCATGTCCTTGTTGGATCACATTTGGAAAGTGTTGTTGAAATACACCCATATCTGTTTCAACTAAATCTTCCTCAGTTGGTAATGGTATATTATAAGTTATACACATGTTGTGTAAAATTGTGCATGCATTTATAATTTGAGTGGCTTTTTTTGGATGGTAGTGAAGAAATCTGTGTTTTAGCAAGCATCTGTAAAGTATTTAAAATATTATGAATCATTATTAATTAAATGAAATAGTAATAATGGTGCTTATTTAAGGTATATACTAATTACTACTATTATTATTGTATTTGATAATACAATTAATTACAGTGGTTGAATTGGAAAAAAAAATAAAGGTGAACACTAAATGAGTTCAAAAACTAGCATTCCAAAGCAAATTAATCTAAAAGTTATTCGTTGGGGACTATATCTATAAATTCAAAATATTTTACTAATAGCAATATAAAACAACTTCAAATTATAAATGCTTATTAGATAGATCATTAGTTGATTGCTGAAATAGATCATCTTTCTATACTGTGCGAAGATTGTTATGCTATAAAAAACACTATTTTAAATAAATTTGTGTAGTAGGTAGATATATCATTAAAAAACCAAAACAATAGTAACGTTACAATTTTTATGTGAATATGTGATGCAAGTGAGTGAGTTAGATAACTTAAATCATTAAAATCAGTAAAAACCCATATAGGTAGTAAATTAGAATACATACTAAATGTTGTCCAATAGATAAAAACATAAAAATCGGAATTTTATTAATATATAATTTATGTAGGTAACTTAACAGCTTTTAAGAATATTCAAGGACTAAGGTTTAGACAAATACAAAAATTAACGGTATCGAGTCCCCTTAAGTTCATTAACAATTAATTTTTATTTTAACAAACCTAAATCTCATTTTCAAAACTCCATTGCACCTTTCAATTAAACTCCGAGTCGACATGTGCTTGGTATTATAATATTTTTCTGCTTCTGTAATTGGGTTATTAATGGGAGTCAGTAACCAAGGGCGTAGTGGGTATCCAGAATCACCTATTTTGTTCATGTATTTGTTGAATTTAAATTTAATAGGTTATCTTTTGTAATTGAATTTATAAATAAAATATCTTACCCAAAAGAAAATATCCTTTATGGCCATTATCATACAGTTCTTTTACAACTGGTTGTACATTGCTGTTACTCCATATGTAAGCATCGTTGGTGCTCCCAGGAAATAATGCATTTACGTTCATAATTTTAAGGTTCACGTCGCATATCTTAAAACAAGTTATTAATTGACTTATAAATACATACTGTATGTGAATTTAATTACAAGAAAAATTAGAACTGTATAGATACTAAACTAGTTGAACGTTTATTGAGTGGTACCCCTTACGGTTGACATAAATATATTCCGGGTTTGCATTTAATGGATCTTTTGATGGTGGTACTATTGCTACGTGAGTGCAGTCTATGCATCCTATGCAACCTTGGAAACCAGTAGCCATGTAAAATCTAAAATTTTGCTATATTGTAATGCTTAAATATTCAACTTTGGGCATGGTTTTTGGTAGGAAATTGGATATAGTTGGTACTTTTGGGAGGTAAAAAAAATGTCCAAATAGCACATTCACTTTGCTACTCAAAACTTAAGCTTGATTAAAATGCCTAAACAAATTTAACAGCTATATAATATAATACAATTCAATATTTACTCGCTGCGAACTTTTCTTAGTTCTCTTAAGTTACTCGGGAATTTCACCCATTTAAAAAAAACATTTTCATTGTTCAATGCAGAAGTCACTTCTTTTAAACACCTAGATACCGAGGGTTGAGACACTGCAAAAAATTTACTGTTCCCAACTGGAGTTTGATAACAACCAGTAGCGTAAAAATCAAGGGCTATTAAAACCTAAAATAATAATGAGACATTAAATATAAATTAAAAACGTAACTTACTATGTATCAATACGATTTATCAACTAAGTACTTATTTCAACTTACCTTTGTTGTAGAGTCTAAATCAGATGATCTCATTTGAGGTTTCAAGTATGGATCCAATTCTTTTATTAACTTCTTTGCCAAGTCTTTACTCAATCTAAAGTTTTTGATAAATGCCGCGTCGGAAATTTCAAAAGCATCACAGAATCTTTGCCTATTAACTCGTGGGTGAGGTTGAAAATGTATTTGGTTTTGTAAATTACCAATAGCAAATAAACCAGCCAAATCATCGAAATTAGCCATCGTTTTAATTTATATACGTGACGTTATGTATTATTATGAGTTATATTATCCTCGTTATTTGCATGTAATGATTATATAAAAATACATAAATAACGAATAGGCATTAGGAAAGTTTAGCGTTTAGGTAATAAATTTAATATCAACATTGAAAACTTATATTTCGTCGTTGTCGTATGAGATAAGGCACTGGCGTGAGGTTAGACCCACACTTTTCGAAGGCGCATGACTTTTCATACGCTTGTTAGTCGTGTGAAGTTCAAGAATAGAAAATATCGAATCTCATTCGACAAAGTTTAATTGTCGTATACGACTTATAAATAGCGCCGTTCAAGAATCGACCCCCAGGTCGAGTCGGTGGGCGTTGGCCTCCCCCGACTCGATGAAATACAATTCGCAGTATCTCGCCTCTTCTCGGTTAAAGGCCACGTCGTTGTTGGTCCGATAATACGCTTGCCCATGGAGCGTGAACACCGTCGGTCCTCGCCCTGGCAAACGTCTGGGGTTTACGCTGCTGGTGAACGCCGCGAATGCCAGAGCGTTGTTGTACCGACGGATGTCCGTTCGGTATCTACGACTGTCCTGTGAATCAGAAGTCAACAAATTCATCAACAGATACGGAAACAATACACGGTCACCTGTAGCGGTCACTTGACCATTGTTGCAGCACGTGGAGAAGTGACCCGCGGTCGTACGCTCGTCGGGAAAGTGACGTGCATCACAGTGCCGGCAGACAGCAGTCAACGTGCCCACGTGGTAACGCTCTGGAAGCGGGTGCGTCACGCCCGCTGTCCGGTCGACCATGAGTGCGCGCTCTCGGGGTCGTTCCACCAGAACTACCACTGGAATAGGTCCGAACTGCACTATAAATGATGACGATAATTTTGGTTTTTCATAAATACGACATATTTACCGACCTCTTTGTCGACGTGTGGCTGCAACACGCCGAGCATGTCCGCGAACTCCAGTTCTGCTAGCGCTTCGTCCATTGCGACGTCGACTACTTCTACGTCGTCCATGTCCACGTCCTCTATCTGCACTACGACGACTTCTACGTCCTCCTCTACATCAGTCGGGACGTCAACGAATTCCACGTCGTCCACCTGTACTACGACTACGTCCACTTCCTCCACGTGAACGCCCACGACTTCTCCTTCCAC